AGCCTTTAGGGTAGTGAACCAGTGGATGAAAGAGCTCTCCCTCTGTTATTTTTTAAATATTTATTTATTTATTTTAAAGCCAGTTACAGAGAGGGAGAGAAATCACGCATGCAAGCACACTTCCATCTGCTGGTTCACTCCCAAAATGGCTGCAAGGGCTGCAGCTGGGCCGATCTGGAGTCAGGAGCTTCTTCTTTGTCTCCCACGTGGATACGGGGACCCAGGGACTTGGGCCATCTTCTGCTGCATTCCCAGGTGCATTAGCAGGGAGTCATTCTGAAGTGGAGCAGCTGGGACTTGAACTGGTACCCATTCTGGATGCTGGCACTGTAGACAGCAGCTTAACCCACTGTGCCACAGCGCCAGCCCCGTAACGCTTTCAAATAATTCTTTTTAAATAAGGCATTGGCAATGGCACCCTATAGAGTCATATATGCTCCATTCTTAAATTTTTATTTTCATTTTACTTGAAAGGCAGAGAGAGCGAGTGGAGCTCCCATCCACTGGCTCACTCCCTGAATGCCAGTAACAGCCAGTGCTGGGTCGGGGCTGAAGTTGGGAGCTGGGACTCAATCCAGGTCTCCCAAGTGGATGGCAGGGATCTAAGCGTTTGAGCCATCACCTGCTGCTTCCAAGGGTGCACACTGGTAGGAAGCTGGCCCAAGTGTTTGGACTCCTGCTACCATGTGGAGACCTGGCAGGAACTCCTGGCTCTGGTCTGGCCTAGTCCTGGCCATTGCAGTCATTGGGGGAGTGAACCAGAGGATGGAAGATCTTGCTCTTTCGAACCAACCAATGAACCAACCAAAAAAAAAAGGGGGGGGGGGCAGCAAAGGAGGTGGGACTCGAACCAAGCCCTCCAATAATTGATGCAGGCATCCTACGCATGGACAAACACTGTGCCACTCACCCACCCAGGCAGGCACTATTCAGGCAGCAACATGGAGGGTAGATTGACAGCCTGCAGTTAGACTATGGCAGGGAGGTAATTTGAGAGGTTCTAGGTAAAATGGGTCAGACTTTGTGACCGACTGCAATGGTGGTAGAACTTGCTGAGGATAAATTTAAAGTCTTTAGCTTATAACTGATGGACAGCTGCTTAAATATGGATATGATTATCTGTATACTTCATGTCAACTAGCCTGTGTAGGGTGCTGAAAACAGAACAGCCAGGGACCTACAATCTGGGAATTAAATATCTAAGAGTAAGTCGTGGAGTGGGTGTTATGGTACAGCAGGTTAAGCACTCCTAGGGACCTGCACCCCGTACGGGAATACTGGTTTGAATTGTACTTCCCACCCAGTTCTCTGCTCATGTGCCTGGGAAGGCAGCAGGTGACTGCTCAAGTACTTTAGTCCCTGCTGTCCACATGGGAGCCCCAGATGGAGTTCTGGCCTTCTTTTTGCCTAGGCCAGCCTCAGCTATTATAGGACCTCTTGCCGCTTCCTCTCAGCACTCTTTCAAATGAAACTCAAACTTTTTTTTAAAAGATTCGAAAGTTAGAGAGGTAGAGATCTTCATCTGCTACTTTACTCCCAGTGCTGGGCTAGGCCAAAGTAAGGATCCAGGAGCTTCATCTGGGTCTCCTACATAGGTGGCAGGGGCCCAAACTCTTGAACCATTTTCTGTTGCTCTTCCCAAGCCATTAGCAGGGAGCTGGATCAGGAAGTGGAGCAGCTGGGACACAAACCAGTGCCCATACTGGATGCTGTCACAGGTGGCAGCTTTACCTGCTACTCCGCAACAATGGTCCTTCAAATGAAATTTTTTTTAAAAAAGTAGATACAGCTACCCGTGGTCCAGCCCCTTCCCCGTAATTCAGTGTCTATACATCAACTATACCTCCTTTCCCCCATATTACTTCTCATTTGTTCTTTATGCCCAACTTCTCTTTAAGATTTTATTTATTTGGAAGACAGAGATGCAGAGGTTTTTCTATCTGCTGGTTTAATCCCCAATGGGCTGCAATGGCTGGGGTTAGGCCAGGCTGAAGGCAGGAGCCTAGAACTTCATCTGGATTTTCCAAGTGACTGGCAGGGACCCAAGTACTTGGGCCATCTTCCTCTGCCTTCCCAGCTACATTAGCAGGAAGTTGGATCAGAAACAGAGTAACCAGGACTTGTGCAACTCACACTCACTATAAGGCATGCTTCTATACTTTTTCTTACAAGTTTTATTTCTTCCTGTAAATCTTTTCCAACATCCTTTATGCGCCACAGATACTTCTCCTGGCTCCACATCTATCACTTCATGCTGTTCTAGCCGGTCCGCCTCTCCAGAGATGGACAATGTCTCTTTCTTGCTTTTGGCACAATTAGTACTAGAAAAATTGCATCAGGAATGCTGCCAATTAAATGTTACTGGAGATCTGATTTGCTGTTGGGGCCATTACAGACAGAAATTGGATGAGTAGGATGTAGGGAAGGGAAGGCAGAGAACAAAGGTTAGGCTGCCCTTCTGTGCAACCCACAGCTGTCATTCTAAGTTCTCTAGTAGCCACAGTAAAAAGTAAGCAATACGGGCCAGCACTGTGGCATAGTGGGTAAAGCTGCCACCTACAGTGCCAATATCCTATATGGGTGTCCATTTGAGTCCCAGCCACTCCATTTCCAATCCAGCTCTCTGCTATGGCTTGGGAAAGCAGTAGATGGCCCAAGTCCTTGAAACCCTGCACCTGAGTGGGAGACCTGAAGAAGCTCCTGGCTCCAGATCAGCACAGGTCTAGCCGTTGTGGCCAATTGGGGAGTGAACCAGCGGATGGAAGACCTTTCTCTCTCTGCCTCTCCTTCTCTCTCTGTATAACTTTGACTTTCAAATAAATAAATAAATCTTTAAAAAAAATCAACAGGTGAATCAACTTTAATACATTTTATTTAATCCAGCATGTAAAAAATATTACTTCAACATGTATCAGATTCAAAAATTGAGGCATTTTACTTTTTGTGTGCTCTTAGATTTTCCGTCCACTGGCTCACTGCCCAAATGGCTGCAACAACTAGGGCTTCTTCTGCGTCTTTCAACTGGGTGGCAGAGGCCCAGGAACTTGGGCCACTTGCTGCTGCTTTCCCAGGCCCATCAGCAGGGAGATGAATCAGAAGTGGAGCAGCCAGGACTCGAGCTGGCATTCATATGGGATGCTGGTGTTGCAGGCCGCTGCACCACGGTGCCAGCCCCTAGTCATTTTTAAGAAAAGATTTTTAAATTTAACTATATTGAATGTCAAAAAAATTAAAAAAGATTTTTAAATTTGAAAGGCAGCAATGAGAGGGGAAGGAAGGAAAGAGTATCTTTCCCCAAATGGCTACAACAGCCAGAGGTGGGCCAGGCTGAAGCCAGGAGCCTGGAACTCCACCAGGGTCTTCCACGTGAGTGGCAGGAACTCAAGCACTTGTGCCACCATCCATTGCTTCCCGGGGGGCATTAGCAAAGCAGCAGACCAGCCAGGACTTGGACCCTACATTTCAGATGCAGACACCCTTAGCAGTGCCTAATCAGAACTTGCCGCATCTCAACAGCTCCCACACTAGTCCTATTTCAGTGGCCAACAGCTCAATAGCTGTGACTTGTGGCTTCCTTACCGGATAGTGCAGGGCTACAGGAAAATGTCTGTCTGAAGATCAACAGTCAAGTCGTAGGAAGGGGTCAAACTCAAGAGGTATCCAAACACCACCAAAGAGGAAAGCTTTGGAGGATTTTGAGATGAATGTTTCTAACAGGTAGCCTGGTGGTGTGTTATTGAGGGGCTGAGTAGAAGCTGTCCTTCCTCCACTCCAGTGAGGCTATTCCACCCTTCCAGGGCTTACGGTCGATGCAGACTGCTTTCCCAGGTGTGTGCCTTACCCCAACAGGTCTGCCAAGTAGTGGGGCTTGTGAGAACGGGGCAGCAGGGTGCACCTGCTTACCTTCAGATGTGGTAATGCCGCATCCCTGTGTGGTGCCAAGGCATGGCTAGACACTAAAAAAAAAACCTCTTTAGACAATGTTGATGAAAGCTGAGATTCAACCAGAGTTATTAAACATTGCAGATTGATGTGCCATAGGTACAGAATCAAGGATGACTCACAGAACAAGTTTAGAGCCTTCTAAAAATAGCATGTACCCAGACTGGATTCTTGTCTTGGTATTCTTCAAAATCTGAAGTCATTGCTCCTCTAAATGTACTCCCCACCCCAAACCACTCATCCCTCCTAACTCTCTCAAGAATGCAGGCCAGTTAGTAGCTAAGCCAGAGACTGACTTAATGACATCTTCCCTATCTCATTCCTCATACATTAACCCTAGGCAAAAACAGTTTAGAGAATGTATCCCAGCTTGGTCTTGGCATAAAGGGAAATGGAATTATTTGAGAGCTCAAAGGGCATAGCATCACACCTTCCGATTTAGAACTACTCAACAACTTCAGTCTTTTTACATGAGCAGGTATGCAGGAAATTAACACGTATGATAGCAACCCCCCTTACCAATAAAGCATTTAGATCTCTTAAGTGTGGACTAAGCAGAGGTATCCTTGATAGATATTCCCCATTTCCCTGCAAACCACCCAATTATCTTCTAAATACGGACTCCTATTTAGTTGTGCTCCTAGAATTCCAGTCAATATTTAAGAACGGTAGCTTCCAGACTTTTCTCATTTTAAGTTTAGTTGCTAGTATAAAAATTACTGGTTATATCTTAATGGAAACAAGCTGGCACACAGGTGTAGGAAACGGCTCACCAAGCAAAGGAACAAAATCCTTCGCAACAGCACTAAGCTGAGTTGGTAAAACTAAAAAGTCCCCGAGTACCTGTTCACCCTCCCAGGATTCTGTTAATAGACAAGATCTTTTATGTCACTATTTTAAAAAGCAGTGTCACTTTGTCAAGAGAACCTCTCTGAACCTCAGTTTCCTAACATGAAGTAATACTAGCCTTGTGCTGCCTAAGAAAGTGCTTTATGAACTGATGAAGTCAGGTTTGTGTTGCTTGGCTCATTAGAAATGTTCTTGGACATCTTATGCAGGAACAGCTGGAGGAAATGGAAGAACGGCAGAGGCAACTGAGAAGTGGGGTCCAACTCCAGCAGCAGAAGAACAGAGAGATGGAGCAGCTAAGGATCAGTCTTGCAGAAGAGCTCTCAGCTTATAAGTCAGTGTTTGCTGCTACTCAAATCTCATCTCATCCTGGCAGAGGGATAAAGAGGGCTCAGAAAATGACTGAACAGTGATTAAAAAAAAACTGATTTGGGAAATGAGTTTTAAGTTGTGCTCACCCATAGACAGATTCAAAATACCTTTTTCTTTTTTCCTAAAGGGCTATGCTACCCAGGAGCCTGGAACAGGCTGCTGCTCCAATTTCTCAGGCAGGTGGAGTCGAGACACAGTCTCAAGGTGATCTTCATGGGCAGAAGAGTGGTGCTTGCCATTGTTACTGCCTTCCTAACAATACTAACGACTTAAAAAATTGAGCATGTCTAGTCTAGTGACATTATTCAGGGATAACCCATACCTCAAAATACCTGGGTCAAGCACTTAGTAGAAAAAAACATTCCAAATGAGTTCTAATGTTCAAAGGCAGAGTTACAGAGATGGGGAGACAGAAGGAAATCTTCCATGTGCTGGTTCACTCCCCAAATGGAACCAGTGGTCACAGATGTGCTAAGCCAGTCAGAAGCCAGGTTCATCCAGGTCTCCCACATGGATGCAGGGGCCCAAGAATTTCAGCCATCCTCTGCACCTTTTCCAGGCGCATTAGCAGGGAGCTGGGTTGGAAGTGGAGCATCTGGGACTTGAATTGGCACCCGTGCGGGATGATGGCATTGCAGGCAGCAGCTCAACCCATTATGCCACAAAGCCTGCCCCTCAATCTCTTTAGTATAGCAAAAAAGGTAGTTATGGGCCAGCGCCATGGCTCACTTGGTTAATCCTCCGCCTGTCATGCTGGCATCCCATATGGGCGCTGTGGGGAGCAACCCGGACTGGACTGAGTTACTGGAATTAAGACTTATTCTATGCATCTGCTCTCCCACAATATGGCGCTGGGAGAGGAGGCAACAGCTTCTACCCAGCTGCCTCTCACCAACTTGACAAGCTGCAGGACCTGCTCCTGATTGGAGGAGAGCAGCGTACTCGGCGTGTGGGCAGCCGAGTTAGGATTGGCGGAGGAGGACTATAAAGGAGGAGAGAAACGGCATGCACCAGGAACATCTAAGGGGAACACCTGTGCAGCCCCCGAGAGAGCCGGCCGGCGGTGTGCCGCTCCCCTGCGGAAGTGGGGGATGTGGCAGGGGGAACCGCCCTTCCACGGAGGTGGAAGGGACGGTAGCCAACCCGGGAAGGACCAGCAGCCAACCCGGGAAGGACCAGCAGCCAACCTGGGAAGAACCAGCAGCAAACCCGGGAAGGGCCGAGCAGACGAAAGAACAGCGCAGGGTCCTGTGTCGTTCCTCCACGAAGACGGGGAGCGACAGGCGCTGGGTTCTAGTCCCGGCTGCTCCTTTTCCAGTCCAGCTCTCTGCTGTGGCCCAGGAGGGCAGTGGAGGATGACCCAAGTGCTTGGGCCCCTGCACCTGCATGGGAGACCAGGAGAAGCACCTGGCTCCTGGCTTCAGATCCGCACAGCACCGGCCATAGTGGCCACATGGGGAGTGAACAAACGGAAGGAAGACCTTTCTATCTCTGTCTGTAACTCTACCTGTCAAAGGAAATAAAAAAAAAAGGTAGTTATGCCATCACATTCAGACTATGACAAGAGTCCAACCAGAGAGCTAAATTACTATGCAAGTTTTATTTAAAAAAAAAAAAAAATCTGAGAAGCGACGTTGTTTACAGGATAGGGAAAAGAGATTTACTTAGTATATATTTAACCACCACCACACATATCAATTTTTTATATAATTATGCACAGGCTGTTTGGGGTATAAATGAATAATCTGTTTATATTTCAGACCTGCCAAAACACAGCAACATCCTGACCAATTAATCTTTTGGAATCCCTCTATGTCCTAACACATTCTTTATATGTGAAGTCTTCAAAAACTATATGGCAAACCCCTAGCATGAAAAAATTATGCATAGATTCCCACTTTTTTGCACCAAAAAGTTTTTTTTTTTTTTTTAACTTGAGAAGCAGAGACACAGCTGGCATCTTCTGGTTTATTCCCCAAATACTTGTTGCAAGTGCCCCTAACTGAGGCTGAAGCTGGGCACCTAACCTAGGTATCCTATGTGGGTAGTAGGGACTCGATTAGTTGAACCATCACTATTGCCGCCCAGGGTCTGTATTTGTAGGAAGCAGGAGCCAGAAGCCAGAGTAGGTACTGAACCCAGGTATTTCAATGTGAAGTGTGGGTGTCTTGACTGCTAGGCTACACACCCACCCCTAAACAAAAAGAACCTTTAAAAAAAAAAAAGATGTATTTACTAATTTGAAAGGCAGAGTGACAGAGAGAGTAAGACAGATTTTCCATCTATTGGTTCCTGCCCAAATGCCTGCAACAGCTTGGGTGTGACCAGGCAAAACCAGGAACAGAAACTATCCAGGTCTCTTAGATGGGTGGCAGGGAACCAATTACTTGGCCATCACCTGCTGCCTCCCAGGTAACTAGCAGGAAAGTGGATCAGCAGCAGAGGCAGGACTTGATCCCAGGCACACTGACATGGGATGCAAGCATCCAAAGTGGCAGCTCACACTCCTGGGCCACAACGCTTGCTCCAGAATTACTGTTTTTTAAATGCTGTCAACTTTCTGAAGTACCCCCATAAAGTCCTGTGCTTTAGATGCAGAAAGGAATGGGTGCCAGTTCAAGACCTAGCTGCCTCACTTCCCAACCAGCTCTCTGCTATGGCCTGGGAAAGCAGATGATGGCCCAAGTGCTTGGGCCCCTGGACCCACATGGGAGATTTGGAAGAAGCTCCTGGCCCCTGGTTTTGGACTGGCTCAACCCTGGCTGTTGTGATCATTAAAAGATGATTTTGCCCTTCAAGTAAATACACCTTAAAAAAAGAAAAAAAAGACAAAAGCTTGTGTTAAGTGGTATATTATATAGATGCTCATAAATTTTATTCATTCCCTAGTAAATTTCTATCTTGGTTGCAAATTCACAAATAACAAACTTATGCTTTTCCTAATCTGCTAGGATTTGTTTACAGATTTATTGAGCTGTAACTCATTTTACTTATTCAGAGATTATTTTAATCTTGCAATTGAGGACAATCAACTGCTAAACATCTTTGTGTGGAGCAGATTTAAAGTGCAACAGGGAAAGACGAGGATTAATTCAAAGAAATCAAACTACAGAATCTCAGGCACTGTAATACTTAAGTTAGCCTGGTTAAAGAAAATTTTTATTCCTTTGCATCACATAGATTACCATTCAGTTTTGCAAATAGGAGGCACCCATATATTTGCCAATAAAAAGCCCTGATCAGATGGAACACAAACCTGCATCTTTTAAACCTTGGGAGTTCACTGTTACAAACTTTCTACTATACTATTTCAAGTTGCACAAAGTGTAAATTTATTTTTTTTTTCCCTCTCAACCTTACAGGGGCTGTTTAGAAATGTACTGCCGAATCTGTAACCCAGAAACAACAAACCAACCTTCTTAGCAAAGGATCACTAAGTACCTTTTGGATATACTTTTCTCCAAACAGACAAGTGCCACAGACTTGGCAAGCAATTCACCCTGTAGAAGTTACAAATGCTGGCTGACCTATTTACAAGGATTCTTGTGTTGGCTGGAGGCAGAAGAACATCAGTCAACTCTTAGCTGGATTGTTTCACAGGCTGCGGGTACTGATGTCAGCACGCTGACGAGAGGAACATGAGCATCCTGCCTCCCAGCAGCAAACCTCACACACATGCTGAGTAACGGATGAATGTATGGATACCTCTTACAGTATTGTAAAGAATGTATCTTGCCTGATGTTAACCCAAACTCAAAAACTTTGGGGAGGCACGGGTGGGGTCCAAAAGGAGCCAATTTTTGTTATGTAGGCTTATAATTTGAATTCTTTTGTGCCGTGTTATCGACTCCTTTTAAAAGTTTACTTTTTCTTAGACTGTGATGACATATATACTCTTAAAATAGTATCAAGATAACTTTAGTATACTTTAACACTAGAATTGGAAAGGAACCAGTATAATTTTGAACCCAGTGTTAAGTCTCTTCAGATTTCCAGAAAGATCTTAAGTGGTTTTGTATCAGAATGATCTACTCAGTGTGAAAAAACAAAAATGGAGTTACTCGTTATGGTACTTGATGATAAAAGTTTTCAGAACTGCTTCCTTACAGCCTCTAAGGATAGACCCTCAGTGAAAAACATAGTGGGGAGATTCAACCTCTCTATGAGAAAAGGTTCAAGTATCTTTTCCAAATTTAAATTATGCCTTAAATCTTACCACACTGCCTTTGACACTCTTGGAAAATCCATGTAGCGCTCTAAGAATAGATTTTAAAAAGATGCAATTTTACCAAAGACTGATCTGTGCACCTCTAATTTCGTGTTTTATGTCTTTCACTTCCCCTGGGAAGGAGTAAAGCTTTTTTCTATAGCTTGGGCTCGATTTTATTTAAAAACATGTATTTATTTGAAAGGCAGAGTTAAAGAGAGAAGCTGAGACAGATCTTCTACCTGCTGGTTCACTCCCCAAATGGCTGCCACAACTGGGGTGGCCAGGTTAAAGCCAGGAGCTTCTTCTGGGTCTCCCATATGGGTGCAGGGGCCATCCTCTGCTGTTTCCCTAGGCATTCATTAGCAAGGAGCTGGATTGGAAGTGAAGCACCTAGGACTCAAACTGGCACCCACATGGAATGCTAGCACTGTGAGCCATGACTTTAACTTGCTGTGCCACAGTTCCAGCCCCAGCTTGGGGTCTATTATATTTAATTTTATTCTTGACAATCAAAGATCATGGAAAATAACCCTAATATAAACAACTCTTCTTGAAAATAGACTGATATATACTAAATAAAACCCATCAGCATGAGGTTATGTAGAAAAGCAATTTATTCCATTATAAGCACTTACACAGTTAGTCATGGAGAGTACAGGCCTGCTGGTGAAACAGGTCACCCAAAGTGGAGATGGTATTAAACTAGTGGTCAAGGACTAACTCCTAAAAAAAAACAAAACACTTTTATCAAGGATTAATTTAAATTTAAAAACAAATACAAGCTATCGATTCACTCTTCTCAACTTGACAGCCTACCTGTGGTACAACTGTCAGGTAAAAACATACATCTTTACAACTTGGTGGTCCCAAGTTTAAAAAAAAAAAAAAAAAAAACACACACAAAACCATTTCACAGAAAGGAAAGGAGTAACATGAAAACAGCTCAAGAAATACACTAATGAGCAAAAATATATGGAGAAAGAGGAACATGTAATTTCAACTTAACTGAAGAAACCAGGAGACTGGTTTATGTAGGAAAATGTGCATCCTGGAAAGTCAGGTGTGAAGATTTCAGAGTAGGAACCTATGACTTGAATCTCCCCTATTTCCTGAATAAAAATGACAACTTGCATTATTTCAACTTCATGGCTCAGACACCTACCTCAGTTGGCTCTATTCCTTGCTCTACCATTAAATGAATCTGAAAAACTCGGGGATATAGTGTAAGAAGAAAAAAAAAATCACACACAATATTCCCCTCTGTGGCTACTTTAGACCTGGGTTTGTTACTAGAAAATTCCTGAAGAAAGTTTAAATATTAAGTTTGTGGCTTTGCTGAATCAAGTTCCGCAGTTAACATTAGAAAACTGCCCACTGCTTGGGCTAATAGCATTGTCGGTGGTACCTACTACAGAGGGATAGCAGAACAAAGTCTGTGTGTCTCAAAACCAGTGTTAAGTCAATCTCAGGGTTGAGAGGAAAAAAAGGGGAGCTTAAAGTCACAAGAAGTGCAGATACGTCTAGGAGCCTTGTCCTTCTGGATCCACACTTCCTTCAGGATCTTCATCATTGTAAATGTTCTCTGCCTGCCCGAAAACAAGAAAAAGAGCAAAGAATATTTAGTAAAGTAAGAAAAAGGCAGCATTCCCATAATATAGAAGAATAGGAAACGAGGTAATAAATATTTTAGGCTTGTGAGCCATGGACATTCTGTTCCAACTATACAACTATGCTGTTGTTGGATAAAAAGCAGCCATAATAGGTATGAACTACAATGGGAATGAATCATGAATGAATGGGCACAGCTGTGTTTGCCTGTCAAAAAACAAACAAACAAACAAACAAACAAAGTGGACAGTGAGAGAGAGAGACAGAGAGAAAGGTCTTCCTTTGCCGTTGGTTCACCCTCCAATAGCCGCCGCGCTGCGGCCGGCGTACCGCGCTGATCCGAAGCCAGGAGCCAGGTGCTTCTCCTGGTCTCCCATGGGGTGCAGGGCCCAAGCACTTGGGCCATCCTCCACTGCACTCCCTGGCCACAGCAGAGAGCTGGCCTGGAAGAGGGGCAACCGGGACAGAATCCGGCGCCCCGACCGGGACTAGAACCCGGTGTGCCGGCACCACAAGGCGGAGGATTAGCCTAGTGAGCCGCGGCGCCGGTACAAGCTGTGTTTCAATAAAAACAGGCACCTGGCCCATAGGCCCTCAAAACTGAAGTTTGGCTACTGTTTTTATAACCAACATTCCTGAACCCTTTAACCAGACAGTGGTAATATTCAGCTGCTTATCAACTGATCAGTGAATAAATGATAAATGCCTACAATGGATTATCTAGCAGTCAGAAAGTACAAATCACCCTGTGTGATTTCTTTAATGTCCAAAATAGGCAAATCCACAAAGTGGACTGATGGGTGCCTAGGGCTAGGGTAGGCTGTAAGAAAAACAATGACAGCATCAGACTCTATATAGGTATAAGGTTGAGGAATCTTTTGTCTCTGCCAAGCACCATTTGGACATCTATAACATCATTAGCAGGCCATGCAAAATTTTTAACTTAATTTGCCTGGTATAGATGTACTGAATTTTGGGTCCTGGCTGCAGCTGCCTTGGCAGGAACAGACCAAATGATTTCCCAGGTCTATGTGGTGCATGGCTTGACACCACTCAACCCTGGTCAGGCCCAAAGACCCTCCCCCTCAACTCAGAGGCCATTTGTAAGTCCTGGGTCCCCAGACTACTTGTATGCCATCTATCAATTTTGGGGGCTCTGACGTCTGCTCACTCTTGATTCAGGAAAGTACTGCTGATTACTGGTTTATAGGACAGAGAATGCAACTTTAGAATCAAATGGAAGGTATTCCAAAGGGAGGGCAGGGAAGGGGCTCAGTTTCCACGAAACATCAGGGCATGCCATCCTCCCGTCAAATCAATGTATTTACCAACCCAGATGCACAGCAAATTTATAGAGCTCAATTTCCAACAACCCCTCACCCTTCCCCAGGCAGCAGCTTAACTGGCCACTCCACAATGCCAGCTTTCCAATAAGCTTCACAATGAGGTTACCCAGGGGGCCTACAGTTTTACTCAAGTGGGATCCAAAGATAATCATTATGAACGACAAAAGATAGCCATCATTCTGGAAAGCTCACTTTTTTTTTTTAGGAGCTGTGCTAAAACTGGGACAAAGACTAAATATATACTTCTTATTATACTACAACAATTCCTTAAACAAAAAACACTTGGATGAAGTAATGAACTAGAATAGAAGTGATGGTCTTGGAAAGGACCTAGTTCAAGTTCTTACAACAGTCCCCCAGCAATTACTAAAATATCCATAATAGGGCAAGCATTTAGCACAGTAAAGACACCCATGTGCCTTATCAAGAGTGTCTGCTTGTAGCCGGCGCCGTGGCTCAATAGGCTAATCCTCCACCTTGCGGCGCCGGCACACCGGGTTCTAGTCCCGGTCGGGGCGCCGGATTCTGTCCCGGTTGCCCCTCTTCCAGGCCAGCTCTCTGCTATGGCCAGGGAGTGCAGTGGAGGATGGCCCAGGTGCTTGGGCCCTGCACCCCATGGGAGACCAGGAAAAGCACCTGGATCCTGGCTCCTGCCATCGGATCAGCGCGGTGCGCCGGCTGCAGCGGCGGCCATTGGAGGGTGAACCAACGGCAAAAGGAAGACCTTTCTCTCTCTGTCTCTCTCTCTCACTGTCCACTCTGCCTGTCAAAAAAAAAAAAAAGAGTGTCTGCTTGTGAATACAGTTCCCTGCTAATGCTTACCCTGGAAGGCAGCAATAATGGCTCAATTAATTGGATTCCTAGAATCTATGTGGGAGACTTGGACTTAGTCCCTCACTCCCAACTTTGGTCTGGCCCAGCCTGTGTCACTGTAGAAATCTGGAGAATGAACCAGCAGATGTGAGCATGTTCTGTCTCAAATTCCTAATTTTACCATCTTAGCCATTTTATGTGATCACTTTAGTGGCATTAAGCACACTCGAAATGTTGTATAACAATCTGCCACCCATCTCCAGAATGCAAGTTTTTAAATACTACTGTACATTACAGTTATTTTATTAATTTCTAAGTGCTCTGAAAATGTTAAAGGTAACAACCTAAACTTGGGCACAGAAGTAGGAATGTTTTTGATGTCTAGATAGGTTTCATAAAGAAACTGTAGTATTCGATGCTGTGAGAGCCTATATACCTCCTCTGGTTATGTCTGTCTCTATCTGTGCAATGAAGACAGATGGGAGAAACACTGCAGAGAAGACTGTTTCAAATGTAGCAAGTGAGGCAGATCTAAAGATGACCAGACATGGAGAACTCTTGAGGAAGTCTGATTAACTTGGGGAAACACTGGAGCTATACAGAAAACAGCAAAGTCAAGAGGGAGAAAGGGGAATGAAAAACAGGAGAGGGAAAGGTTAGTTTTGTTTAGCTGAATTTGAAACACCAGTGAGACAATCAGATAAAGGTAAAGAACAGGCAGATGGAAACGACAAAATATATGCAGGTAATAAAGTCATGCCTGGGAGTAAACTGAAGATTATATTTACATTTGTGAGGCATATAAGAAGGTACTATAAAAAGCTTATGGAAAAATAGAATTAAACAGCTAAGTTGTGGCTGGTATAGTGGCATAGTGAGTTAAGCTGCTGCCTGTGATGCCAGCATCCCATAAAGACACCAGTTCCAATCCAGCTCCCTGCTAATGTGCCTGGGAAAGCAGCAGAGGATGGCCCAAGTGCTTGGGCCCCTGGACCCACATCCAGCAAAATGGACTGGCCCAACCCTGGCTGCTATGACCATCTAGGGAGTGAACCAGTGGATGGAAGACCGATCT